AGCCCAGCACTGGACACAGCACTGCAGATGGGGCCTCCCCAGGGCAGAGCAGAGGGGAAGGAGACCCTCCCTCACCCTGCTGCCCACACTCCTCCTCATGCACCCCAGGGTCCCCTTGGCCTCCTTGGCACCCAGGGCACGCTGCTGGCTCAGGGTCACCCTGTCGTCCACCAGCACTCCCAGTCCCTCTCCGCAGAGCTGCTCTCCAGCAGGGCCGCCCCAGCCTGTCCTGGTGCCTGGGGTTGTTCCTCCCCAGGGGCAGGACCCTGCCCTTGCCCTGGTTGAACCCCATCAGGTTCCTCTCTGCCCAGCTCTCCAGCCTGGCCAGGCCAGCAGCTGGCTGTCAGAACGGGAAAAAACCACACCAGGAGGAGAGGGTCTCCAAGGGCTCCTGTTCAATGTTTCATTCCTCGCACTTCACGCATCACGGAGCTGAGTGAACTCATTCTACTCCCTGCTCCTTCGCCCACGAAAACACATACAAACAGCTCTTTGAGGAGAAAGCTCAGATAACACTGCAATTAGCTAATATGTTGGCACGCAGGGTACTAATGCCAATTTAAAGTAATGTACTTTGATAGCATGTGGAGGGAAAGTCACATTGCCAGCAACTTACCTTAGGGTCAGAATCTTTAATGATAGCAGTAAAGATTGCTTCCTTTAAGGGAGGGGAAAAAGAAAAAAAGACATTGTAAGATTTGAAGTGTAAAATGCAGCTTCGCCAGTGGCAGCTGACTGGCAGTCACTGACTCCTAACAACTTCTTAGTTTCTGCTTTACCAATAAATTCAACAGCATCAGCGCTTCTGAAATTTGTGGTATTCTTCTACCAGACCACCAGGACCCAAAAAGACATTTAACACAATCAGTCTTCAACAGGACGAGCCATCAGAACACGTAAAACATAATAAAAGTCAGCTCAAATACAGGGTCCTGCTCTGCACTGAAACGCTATCGCCTGTCCCAGAATTTCAATAAACTTCATTACTTACTTCATCTTTTACAGTCTTGTACTGAGGCACCATGTTGATGCAGAGCTGATTGCCATCCAGTGATATCGGAAAGCAGGTGTAAAATTTCACCATGGAATCCGCAGATTTTCTATTTATTTCGAGATACGCCTTTGAAAACCAACAGAAATGGAAAATAAAAATGTAACTCATGCGAAGCAGCTCCCATCGATGCTTGCTGCGTTACATCACCACATTTGTGTTTTGTTAAAAACACACTCGCTGCTTCTCGAGGCAGAAACACCCGTGAAGCCCCCGTGGAATACCTTCTGGTGAGAGGACACAATCAGCACGTCCCTCAGGCCTCCGAACGGCTTGGCCAGGTTGGACACTTCCTCGGCGGAGCAGCCTTTCTCAGGCAAGTTGGAGATGAGAACCACGCACAGATCATCAAGGTCCTGCAGGCAAAGGAAAGTACACGTTCCTGGTGTTTCTCCAGCTCCACATTCCAGCTGCTGCATTACTGAAGAGGGCATTTCCTTCTACCACGCAAACCCACTGTGAAAGGTAACGAAGCTCTTGCTCAGAAGCTGGCTATCCTACACACAATTACCCCCAAACCTTTCGGCCTTTTTAGGATTTAGCAGCAAAGCATCCTAAACAATATTTTTAAACTTTTTCTCTAATTCTGTTATCTGATCGCCTTCACTGCTGCTTCACTGGATGTATCCACACCCACCCCCAGGCCCATCCTGCACACACCAGAAGCTCAGACCAAACCCACGTCCCTTTCACTCAACCCACGACATGCCCACCCGTCAAACACTGCATCCCACGACGCGACACGGACGGAGCCAAAAGGAGTTTTGGTGTCAGGAACAAACTCTGAGGGGCAGGGAAGCCAGAGTGAAATGGTAGATGTCCACCAAATCATAACCAGCAAGGAGAAAATCAACAGGTTGGCGTTCCTTGCAAGACACGAGCGGGCAGGGGACTCCGATCGCCCACCAGCGCTTGGGGACCGGCACCAGCCCAGCCCTCACAGCCCCCCGGAGCCCAGCACCCCCAGCCCCACCCTGCCAGCTGCCTCTGCCGCCTCTTCGCTCTTCGCAGTCGCTGTCGTCGCTTCTGAAAAAAAGGGGTGGGGGTCAGTAGCTCAGCAGCTTTCTTTGAATATCAGAGAGCTGGAAGAACTTCTTGCTTTACATTTTATCCCCACTGCCACTGTGAAAAATGGAACATTAATTCAGGTAACTCACAGTGACAAATGACACTGGGGAGACACATACAGCGTCATGCAAATGTTTCCAGAACGGGTTTAAGTGGGGATAAAAAAAAAAATTAAAATCCCTTAAATAACATGCAAACACTCTGCTGACATTAAGGCCTTATGGGCTGAATAATCACAACCACAAGACCTTCTTGTGGGCATACAGGGACTCTGCGGGTGCCTGGCACGCACCCACACAATCTTTCTTTCTTTTTCTTCCTTCTTCCTGGGACAAGTCCACAGTGCTACGTGACAGGCTCAGCAAAACACAGGCCAAGGGCAGTCACAGAGGACAGGCAAGCGTGGCTACAGGAGAACCACCTCTCCTGTAAAAGGTTTGTATCTACCTCCAACAGGTTCAGCAACGATGACCTTGCTGCATCTCTACTGCTGCAAGCACCCTAACTGAGAATGAATCTGTGCTTATGCTACGTTTAACCCAGAGTCAGAGAAAACACGGGGAAAACGGCATCTCCTGAACCCGCTCCAGCAGGCAACGTGAAGCCATGAGATGACCAGAATTCGTGGTGGAGCTGCACACAGCAAGCTGAACCCTTCTGCTCAACGAGCTGCAAATAAAAGTCCCCAGGTCGCAGTGAAAAGGTCTGGCTAAAAATAGTAGGTCCGCTGAAGGATGTAAATCTGGGGTGGTTTCAGCCACTTCAGCCACCACCAGGAGCTGCTGCTCTACACTTCACTCAGTGAATCTATTCGAATAGGTTTTCTTTTCTGATGCCCTGTGTTATTTTCATTTCCTGGCCTCAAAAGCTTTCTCACTAAGTTCACAACTCTTTAGGAGAGAAACCAGAAAAACCCTGTCAAGCCTGCAGTTTGCCTTGATGAATTCAAGCTTCATTAAACTCACCCAAGTCCAACACCTCCGCCTGAGGCATCTGTGCAAGTTGCTCTGAAAAAAAAATAAATAAAGAAATTCCAGAAAACTTCACAAAGTTAAACTTCACATAACTGAGGACGAGCAAAGTCACTTGAAGATGGCGTGAGCGTACCAGAAGTCCCTGGCGCAGGCGCAGGGCTCGTCTCCCCTCTGGGCTGAGCCTCCACGGGCTCTGTCGCGCCGTCCCCTTCCGTAACGTCCTTCGGGTCCGACAGCGCAGCTGCCCCGACCTCTGTCTCAGCTTCCACGGAGCTCTGCAGGTCTTCCTCGATCGGTTTTGCTGGCAGGTAACAGCAAAAAAAAGCATTCTTCATTTCAGTGGATTAAACTCATCAGTTTGTGAAACAAGAACCAACCGCACCGTCATTTTCTGCCAGATACTCAGAGCCTTCCTGCCACGTAAATTCCCGCTCCTCATTACAAAACGCACGCACAGGCAAAGCTCCTTCCTGCTCTGTGAAACACCCGTGTGGCTGCGGTTCTGCGGCAGGGAGCTGGTGAATGAGAATGGCCAAATAAACATTGGCACCCACTCTGCCATTAGGTGAGATAAGAGGGCTGAGGCCAAGCCAAAAGAGACAGCCCGAACTGCTGCCATTATCCTCCACTGTCCCCTTTTGCCTTATCTCTGTTTAAAAACACAGCTATCATTCATTTTAGAGAAGGGCAGCCTCCCTGGGCAGCCTGGGCCAGGGCTCCGGCACCCTCAGAGGGAAGAAGTTCTTCCTCGGGTTCAGCTGGAGCTTCCTCTGCTTCAGTTTGTGCCCATTGCCCCTTGTCCTGTCGCTGGGCACCACTGGGAAGAGTCTGGCCCCATCCTCCTGACCCCCACCCTGCAGATATTTAGAGGCATTTCGAAGGTCCCCTCTCAGCCTTCTCTTCTCCAGGCTGAACAAGCCCAGCTCCCTCAGCCTCTCCTCGCAGCAGAGATGCTCCAGTCCCCTCCTCATCCTCGCAGCCCTGCACTGGACTCTCTCCCGTAGCTCCTCATCTTTCTTGAACTGGGGAGCCCAGCACTGGACCCAGCACTGCAGCTGGGGCCTCCCCAGGGCAGAGCAGAGGGGGAGCAGAACCTCCCTCACCTGCTGGTCGCTACCTCGGATCTCTCTTCTGGGGAGCAGGGGGAGGGGGACAGAACAGCCCCTGCCTGCGCGTTCCGAGGAAGGAGCACAAGTTCTCCTGTGCCTTACCCGCAGTGTTTGAAGCCTTCTTGATTTTGCCATCGCCCGTCACTGTCGATTTCTTAGTCTTTTCTTTTTTACCTGTGTAAAATAGCCAAACCCAAGCCCGTCAGTAGAAATACCTCTGTCTTACGTTTGTGGAGTATAAAAATACATACAAAAAGGGTTCAATCTGCAAAACTCAACAGATATGACGAAAAAATCCTAAGATCTAAAGCATAAGTTAATTCCAACAAACTACTGAACAGAAGCCACGAAGCAGAGCATCTTCTGTGAATTTGTTTTGGGTTCTGGAGAGAAAACCTCGCTCCCACACAAGCCCACGTGTTGTCCTTCTCCAAAAGGCCCGCATGCAGCTCACGGCTGCCGTCTGCGCGGCGGCTCTGGAGCGCACGGCTACCCCAGTCCTCCTTCCGTCCCGGGACCCGGAGCCAGAAGCGGCCACGCTGACGGAGGAACCGAGGCCACTGCATCTTTAAAAAGCACAGCTTCCCACCAAAAGAAAGTCCGGTCCCTAACTTTGCTCAGAAAAAATTTCTCAGGAAAGGCAGTAAAATAAGCAACAAAAAAAATGATGTGGCTGTCGTTTCCAATGTCTTAATTCCAAATTTTTGTAAAGCGTCGTTGGCTTTTGATGTATTTACCTCAGTCTATCCTGTTTCCTGTACTGAAGTACTAAAAAAGTAGCTGTGAAGTAAAAAAAGAAAACAAAAACCAACCCAGCCATTCTCCTCTCAGCAGGACACACAAGTCCTTCTGCCAGACCGAGTAATAATAATTGAAATAATTTCTGTCAGGATCGACAGCAGCCCAGGGCAGAAATTTCAGAGCGTTCAGAACGCACAAGGAACATGAGACACTGAGAGGCACTCGCAGTAACGTGACAGAGAGCACGAAATCTGTGGCACAAGAGGCTCAAAGCCAGCCTGGAGAATCAGGCTTCCTTCAGGAGCCCAGCGTGCCACGTCCACCTCCAACAGACGGGGCAAACCTTGAACTTCACAGACTAGGGGCACAGCTCAAGGCGGTGCTTCTTCGCTGCGACTCGAGGGTCGGGTTTTGTGGGGTTTTTTAGAGAAAGAAAGGGTCACGTGAACAGGCAGGTGTGTGAAAGTACAAACTTGATGTTTTCCTGCAGCCCCCCGAGCTCCAGTTCAGTCACTGCTACGAAAAGCACCCCAGGAACACAAAGACACGGGTGGCAGGCACAGAGCTGCCACCAGCCAGAAGGCAGCTGAGAGCTTACCTGTAAGGGATTTCGTTGTCTTGGTGTTCTGCTCTTTTCTATTATGAGAAAAAAAATTTAAGAAAAAACAGGTTCAGAGACAATTAATGAACATTAAAACAGCTAAAAAAAGCCCAGAAACAGTAAAACACCAGCAACCAGACGCGAGCCCGCGTCGTTTCCAGTCGTTGTAACCAACGCCGATGCACGTGCTGGCAGCACTTACTTTGTACTCGATGCAGCTTTTTTAACGTTCTGAGTCCGTTTTTTCACATTGATTTTGGCCTGGAATGCATAGAAAGAAAAACTTGTACTGCGTCATTTAAACTTTATTTCTAAATGTGACATATACACGCATAAAAACATTATTAGTAATTATTAATAGTAATTAAGTGTAGATATTAATATAGGTTGTATCTTTAGTATCAGTTTAGCAAACACTGATTCACAAATATCAAATTTAAGCAAGAAAAACAGAAAAACGGAATTAGGAAGTGCGTTTACATATTTATTTTAGACAGCTGTTTATGAAATGGAAATTAAAAAGACATTAAAACCACCATTTTTCCGGAGAGCATCAAGTTTTGGAGCAAGACACCAAGCCAGACGCCAAGCAGCCCGCTGTGGCCCAGCCCGCTGCTCACCTGGCCGGGGGACGCTTTCGGCTTCTCCGCTACGCTTATTTTCCCCCGCTTCCCGTTCAGCAGCACCGGCACCGTCTCCCCGTACTCCACAGCCGCTATCACAGCTTCCTTGTAGTTCATTTCCAGGAAGGCCTAGAAGAAAGGGCACCCTCAGTCCATGTTTGTGTGACAGGCAGGGCTCAGTGCCACTTTTCCCCCAGCAGATCTGCTCGCGACAGAACGGCAGGCAGCTCCCTCACTCGAAGCTCATGCGGCGTTTGAGGAGGAAGTTTGGGGTTTCAGTGCTGCACAAAAAGCATTCTGCTTCCTCTAACGTTTAAGGCTTAGGTAGCACGTGAATTTCTGAAGTGCAGACTCCCAGCTATTCCAAGCCATCTTTAACGACCAACGGCCCAGGCAGCCTCGTCCAGGACTCGAACGCCGCGCTGCTTCACCGCCGGACAATTCCCTCGGCGTTCCGACACCAGGGCTTTCTGCAGGAGAACTCACCTCGTTTCTCGAGCGGAACACAAGGAGATCGCTAACTTTGCCGAACGGCTGAACGATTTTTTTAATATCTTGGTCTGAAAAGCCATCATCTGGTAAATCCGATATTTGAAGGACTGTCCCACAGCTCAGCAAGTCCTCTCTCAACAGCTACAAATTGAAAACAGAACAAAAATAAACATTTTCCAAGCTAAGTCCAGTAAGAACAGAAAAGCATCTGTAACCAAACTGACTTTGCAGTGGACAGACTGCGCAGATCGCAGCAGCATTTTGAGCTTTTTGCTTTTCAACACCAGGACAGAGCCACAATTTTGTTGTTCTGCTACTCCACCTCAACCTCCCGTTATCAGAGACACAGAATCACAGAATCACAGAATAGTAGGGGTTGGAAGGGACCTCTGTGGGTCATCTCGTCCAGCCCCACTGCCGCAGCAGCGTCACCTACAGGCTGCACAGGATCTTGTCCAGGTGGGTCTTGAATATCTCCAGAGAAGGAGACTCCACAACCTCCCTGGGCAGCCTGTTCCAGTGCTCCGTCACCCTCAGAGGGAAGAAGTTCCTCCTCATGTTCAGACGGAACTTCCTGTGCCTCAGTTTGTGCCCATTGCCCCTTGTCCTGTCACTGGGCACCACTGAAAAGAGCTTGGCCCCATCCTCCTGACACCCACCCTGCAGATATTTGTAGGCATTTATAAGGTCTCCTCGCAGCCTTCTCTTCTTCAGGCACAGGGTCACCAAGTCCCACCACACCTTTGTGCTTTCACCAGGCACTACAGATCGGTGCAATTCCAGCTGTCTGGGCCGTGTGGGTGTGGAGCTGCACAGTTCCTCTCCTCTCCTTTCCAGGCAATGCCCTCTTTGCTTATCGCTCCGAGGTGGGAACCACCACGGATGACTGCACCCACCCCAGCGTCCGACGTTAACCAGACACAAACCTGGCTGACCGGCAGCGCTCCTCAGAGATCCCAGCAGCCAGCAGGACGGACTAGGACAACACTGGCTTCAGACCGTTGGTACAACGAGAGCAGTAGGTTGCTCTGCCTCGTCTTTTGTGCTCAACAGGGCAAAGTGGACACTTTCTGCCTCCTCTCCGTGACTTTTACTTTCGCAGTGAGCTCCTCCAAACGGAGCTCATCGCTCACGCTTCGCACACACAAGTGCCCAGCAGAGCGAGGACCTGAACTTCATGGACATTTCTTTCTGCTGTTGGAAAGCACTACGGAGGTTTTGCTTCACATCTGCTAGAAAATCCTCGCTGTGTGAACTACCACAGCCAGCAAACCTCTGCATGAAGACAGCAGCGTCTGTCGCGTGGCATCAGCAAACAGAACAGCTGAGCTTCCCACAGGCGATCCCCCCGAAATGTGGTGCTCACCTAATTCTTCAAATCACAGAGAAAAACACTCAGAAACTCACCCTGTTATAAGGAGGACAAGGTCCGCTGGTTCCTGCGGGTAAGTCTTCCTCCTCCTCTTCCACTTCTTTGCCTTCGGGTGCATCATCAGTTTCAGGAGATGAAGAACCTGACCCAGGCGTAGAAGGAGCGTCTTTCTTCGAAGCCTTTGCAGAGCCACTTGTTTTCAGTGGCTTCTTTGTGCTCCTGGGCGTCTTCCCTGCGGCTCCATGAGAGGGTGGTGACTTTCCCGATCCCCAGGAGCCCTGCGCAGCTGCTCGAAGTGACTTGTGCTTATTGAACTCTGCTACAAAGCCAGGCCCCAAACTTTTCACTACTGCCTCCAGAGCTGCCTTTCTGTCTGTGAGCGGAAGGGAAAACAAACTGGGTTTTGGTAGTTTGCTTTTAAAATTAAAAAAAAAAAAAACTTACATATATTCCTGATTGGTTTTCTTCAGTTCCAGTTTCACCACCCCTTCCTGATTCAATCCTGAGACGTGCTGAAGTTGGAGACTCTTCCTCACACTCCAGCAGAGATGGCCTACACGTAGTAACAAACCTCTGCACTATTCACAGAATCACAGAATAGTAGGGGTTGGAAGGGCCCTCTGTGGGTCACCCAGTCCAGCCCCCTGCCCAAGCAGGGTCACCCAGAG